TGGGCTACGCCGCATCTTTACCAAGCATAAAGATATTGTTTTTTGTTGGGTCCCTGGTCATGTTGACGTAAAAGGGCAATGAACGGGCAGACCCCTGCTGCGGGGTTCAGCAGTACATGACCTACCAGTTCAGTAGAGGTATTCCATTACGGACTATTTTGCTGCAATATCTTCCCACCTTCACACCCGTTGGCAACAACGTTGGTCTACTATGCTCGGCAACAAACTTCATCTATAAACCGAGTGTAGGTTACGGGCCGTCTTCTTATCACCAGTGCCCGAGGTTGGGAGACTACTCTCTCCCGTCTTCGCATTGGCCATACTCGTCTTACTCATGGATATCTCATGGAGAGGCGCCCTGCTCCTCTCTGTGAGAATTGCCAAGTTCCATTATCAGTCAGCCACATTCTTTTGGGACTGCCCCACTTTAATCAACGAGCACGCAGAATTTACCTCCGTCGTCGTCTTCGCTCTGCTGCTCTCTCTTTACCTTCCCTTCTCGCTGATGGACCCACCTTTCATCCAGACTCTCTCATTCACTTTTTGACAACAACTGACTTACTTCACAAATTCTGATACCTTCAGCCCTTTTTACTTCAATCTCTTGCTGCCCCCTACCCCTGTACTATCCCCTTCCCCGCTGTTTTCTGTAACCTACTGATCATCCCTCCTCCCTTCTGCCATCCAATACCCTCGCTTCCTTCCCTACCCTGCAGCGCTGTATAGTCCTTGTGGCTTAGCGCTTCTTTTTGATTATAATAATAATACAAAGCACCTTTCAAACATAGCTTGTACAGTTTCTTGAAGTTGGAAATGACCTGCTGGTCTATGGGCTGCAGGAGAGGAGTGGTATTAGGAGGCAAAAACTTCACCTTAATGAAGCTCATGTCCCTAGAAAGTCGCTCTGCCAAGTCTGAAGGATGACCAGGAGCATTGTCTAATACCAGGAGGCACTTAAAGTCTAATTTCTTTTCATTTAGGTAATTTTTCACATTGGGGGCAAATGCATGGTGTAACCACTCATAGAAAAAGCCCCTAGTGACCCATGCCTTACTGTTTGCCCTCCACAGCACACACAAATTAGCCTTGAGGACATTGTTTTTCCTGAACACTCATGGAGTTTCAAAGTGATACACCAATAAAGGCTTCACTTTGCAATCACCACTAGCATTGGCACACATCAACAGAGTAAGCCTGTCTTTCATAGGCTTATGTCCTGGGAGTGCCTTTTCCTCCTGAGTAATGTAGGTCCTGCTTGGCATTTTCTTCCAAAACAGGCCTGTTTCGTCACAATTAAACACTTGTTTAGGTTTCAGTCCTTCACTGTCTAGGTACTCCTTGAATTCCTGCACATATTTTTCAGCTGCTTTGTGGTCTGAACTGGCAGCCTCACCATGCCTTATCACACTATGAATGCCACTTCTTTCTTTCTTTCAACGTACCAGCCGTATCCCACTGAGGTGGGGTGGCCCAAAAGAAAAAACTGAAGTTTCTCCTTTTAAATTTAGTAATATATACAGGAGAAGGGGTTACTAGCCCCTTGCTCCCGGCATTTTAGTCGCCTCTTACGACACGCATGGCTTACAGAGGAAGAATTCTGTTCCACTTCCCCATGGAGATAAGAGGAAATAAACAAGAACAAGAATTAGAAAGAAAATAGAAGAAAACCCAGAGGGGTGTGTATATATATGCTTGTACATGTATGTTTAGTGTGACCTAAGTGTAAGTAGAAGTAGCAAGACTTACCTGTAATCTTGCATATTTATGAGACAGACAAAAGACACCAGCAATCCTACCATCATGTAAAACAATTACAGGCTTTCGTTTTACACTCACTTGGCAGGACGGTAGTACCTCCCTGGCCGGTTGCTGTCTACCAACCTACTACCTACAATGAATGCCACTACGCTTCTTAAATCTCTCAAACCAACCTTTGCTGGCCTTAACCCTTTGACTGTTTCAGGCCCCTCTCTGAAACTGTCATTCTATGTCGCCAAATATTCAAAAAAAAAAAAATTATTTTTTCTTATGAAAATGTTAAGATTATTTTTCTGAGTGTTTTAGTCAAAAAAAAAAAAATTTGCCATCGGTACTTACTGAGATACAGAGCCGTGAAGTTTGCAGAAAATGAGCCGCGTATGGCAACAGCGGTGACTGCCGCTCACCCGGTAAACTTTAGTTTACTTGTAATTGAAGGTTTTTTGTTTTTTTCACTATTTTATTTTTTACATAACTTATGTGCCTATTGAGACAAGTAGGTGCAATGTTATACATACACTCGTTGTAACACATAGCACACAAACATAATTACAATATATTGTTACAAAACTGTTGTAACAAACAAACAATAACCCCCCGCATCCCATCTCTCCTCCTCCTCCCTCACTCCCCTTCGTCCTTCAAACTTGCTCTTCCTAAACAACCTCAATCCTCCTCCTCCTCCTCCTCCTCCTCCTTCTCTCCTCCTCTTCTTCTCCTCCTTCTCCTCCTCCTCCTCCTCCTCCTCCTCCTCCTCTCCTCCTCCTCCTCCTCCTCCTCCTTCCCTCCTTCTCTCTCCTCCTCCTCCTCCTCTCCTCCTCCTTGTCTTGTGTGCGAGTGTGTGGCTTATAATTGTTTTGAGTCAGAAGTCGGCAGCTGTCAAAGTGACATATTGTCTCATTAGTCACTTCCCCTACCGCCTGTCAAAACAATGGGGTCGGATGCTGCTTCCCCTCCTCCATTCTATCTAATTATCTTTCTCCCTCATTCTATATCTTTCAATCTGTCTCTCTTTCTATCTGTCTGCCTATCTCTGTCTCACAGGTACACATAAATACAAGTATACATAGTGTAAATTACCTAGGATAACCCAAGAAATCCAGACAAAGTGCTATACTCTGCTTGAAGATGTGAGTAAACGTGATGACACAGTCTTGTGGCTCTCTCTGAGACAGAGAGCTAGATGGACAGACAGGGAGCTTGACAGACAGACAAATAGACAGACAGAAATGTTTGTGTACCAGCAAAAACAAAGGGAGGGCGATGGTCATGTAATATTACCCTCCTTTACGCTCATCAAAGTCAGCTCTTATCAGATGTTATCTCCCCTTATCTTGTCACTGTCATGGGGTGGACTTTTTTTTTTCTTGCTTCAAGGGAACAATATTATTACATCTTCTTCTTCCTCCTCCTCCTCCTCCTCCTCTTCTCCTCCTCCTCCTCCTCCTCCTCCTCCTCCTCCTCCTCCTCCTCCTCCTCTCCTTCCTCCTCTCCTCCCTCTCCTCTTCCTTCCCTCCTCCTCCTCCTCCTCCTCCTCCTCTTCCTCCTCCTCTTCCTCCCGTCCTCCCCCTCCTCCTCCTCCATTGCTTTTGGTCTCAAACTCCTCCAAATCATAAAATTGATCTTCACTGACACTTCCATCTGTGTTAGAGCATCACTTGGGAAGAGAAGAGTCCCAGATTTGCTGGGGAATCACATATTTCTTACCGCTAGACATGCTGAAAAAGGACAACTGAAATGGCATTCCCACAATGCACCACTGGCTCCCCGATTTTTTTTATATGGTGCACACTGACCATGGAGACCCATTCTCTCACATGTGGGCCTACCAGCTTTCTCCTGCTTGATTTGAAGCTGCTAGAATTTATGCGTATAAATACGTCAGAAACATTGGCTCGTAAGACGTATTTATACGTCGGAAACAGTCAAAGGGTTAAATTCAATCACATCACTAGTTGCTGGCATTTTTAAATTAAATCGTCATGCAACTTCCTAGCCTTTTCACATATGATCGCTTGAGAGATGCTATCTCCTGCTATCTGTTTCTCGTTTATCCATACCAATACGAGTCTCTCAACATCTTCTACCGCTTGCGATCTCAGTTTCGAAAACATAGTTGCACCTTTGGCAGGAACAGCTTCCTTGATTGCCATTTTCTTGCCCACAATAGTAGCGATGGTTGATTGGGGTTTATTATACAACCTGACCAGCTCAGAGATACGCACTCCACTTTCATACTTAGCAATGATCTCTTTCTTCATCTCCATAGTAATTCTCACCCTTTTTGCTCTAGGGTTGGCACTAGAAGCTTTCTTGGGGCCAATGGTGACTTATTTTGCAGGTGCAACCACTACAAAGGCTGTGATAATATGAAATGTTCCAGTTGTATGTTTGGAAGCGACTGCGGTGGCTGGCTTGTAAACACTGGCACCCATTGGACAAGTGAGGCGCACTCAGACGAAAGTGGACGTGTCTCGTACGGAACGAATAGCTCTGGTCGGGGTTTTTAAGCGCTAGTCGAGGCAAAATTTTTGCGTTAAAATGTATCGCTAGTCAGATTTATCGTTAATCGATGCCATCGCTGGTTGAGGGTCTACTGTACTTTAGATCACTGAAAATTAGTGAATATATTTTCAAGAATTGGTAGTATAAATTATACCTGGAGAGAGTTTTGGGACTCGACTCCCCCACGGCCCAGTCCGTGACCAGGCCTCCTGGTGGATCAGGGTCTGATCAACCAGGCTCTTACTGCTGGCTGCACTCTTTAATATTAATCCTTTCTAAAATGCCATTTCCCTTGCAAGGTATTCTTGTATATGCTTGTATACTGTATGTTGGTGCATAAGTTTTCAACTATAATCATAGGCAATAAGCATATTTTTGTGCACTTTTGGAAGCTGGAGGGCTTACACTGGTTTACAGTTATGTGTAACCTTTTACTGTTCTGTAATATACAGGGTTGTAGCCTCCTCCTGCCGTATACATGTATTATACCTGTGAATTTTTTCCTCCTACGTACATTAGCTAGTTCAGAGTTGTTAAATTGTTGTTTATAGCATTTTACACAAGATATTAAAGCAGACATCTTTTATAATTTACATTTATCACATAACTGCATACGTAATTTAAATTAGTCAATACACGTCATTTTTATTTTTAATATTAGTGATACATATTTATATTTTCAGTCTTCACACACACTTTATTTTTTATTTTATATTTTACATTTGTTCTCCACCAAGACAAAAGTCGTAGTGAGGAAGATGGTAAAGAAGACTCCCCTCCTAGGAAGATGGTTGGCTTACCCAAGATTGGTATGGGTATTGGTGGCAACATCCTTGCTGAGATGAAGATGATGCAAGAGAAGCGAACATCATTCCTACCCAAGGTTGGACCTTCCATCAGTTAATATTTTGTGTTGATCATTGTACAGTTTTGTAACTTCATCAAAATGGCAGTTTTTATTTTTTTAACACTGTGTCCCACCAAGTTTCGATGTCCCCAGAAAGAGAGAAACATTCATTATCATTCAATGGCTGTGTTGCCAAACGTGCACAAACATCACGATTTAAATGAGCCTTTGAAATACATCCTCACTCCTTCAGAGTGCAGGCATTTTACTTCCCACCTCCAGGACTTAAGTCCTGTAACTGATAATTATAGCTTTTTGAAGATGCTAATAATTCCCACTTGGATAAACTGGTATTCAAATATCTAAATCTTAGTAAAATGTGATTATTTTAAAGTGTTTACCATGCAAACTAAGTTGAAGGAACTTGACAACAGGCCTCAGGAATATTTGTGTATTTTGAGCTGAAGATGCAAAGTTTATTTCTCAAATGTCACCTCATTGTTTCATTGTCATGTAAGCCAGACAGTAGATTTGCCAGAGGTTTTGTACCACATTGTTAATGAGTTGTAAATTAAAAATCTGTCAGCCCGGGAGGTATAGGGTGTCTGTCTGCCAGGTTCATTTAATAATGACGTTAAGTTTAGTTTCATAATGAGCTCTCAGGAACAGATTAATATCGTTAGCCGAGGGTGCACTGTATATCCATACTCATTATTTTTCATTTCTAAACCCATACCTCTAACTAATCCTAGTTTGAAGTCCTAACAACCCCCTCAACTTAGCTAGCTGCCCTGGATAAGTGAACCTTATCCTTGGCATGCATGTCATTTCGGCCATAGAAGTGGTCCCAGTTGTCAATGAATGGTACTGCATTATCCTTACAGTGTTTGTCCAGCCAACAATTAACACCAATTGCTCTGGACAACCATTCATTTCCAACACCCCTTCTTGGCAAAATGCCACATATAACAGGGCACCTCCCCCTTCTTCCTAATGATGTCTCTTGCTGTCCTGAACCTTCTGACTAAATCCGCACTTCTACGCTTGCCTACATCATTGCCTCCAGCACTGAGGCAGCTAATAGGATTGATCCCATTACCGTTTATGATGTTGTCAAGCCGTCTAACAAAACCCTCCATCCCAGCCCTAGGAAAGCAAACCCTCTTTCTCCTATTCATATCCTTCAAACAGAAGGCCCTATCCATATACCTAACCTGGCTATCCCCAACAACAACAACAGCAACAACAACTATTTTTACCTTCCTTGGTGTCATTCGTCGTGACGTTCCCAGTAGTCGACTCTCATTCGTCGGGTAGCGCACAGAATGCATTGGATGTTTCCATAACAGTCTCTTTCTTCTTCAGCGTTTCTACCTTTCCATTCGTCTTCTTGATCATCCACTTTATTCTATACTGTCTAGCCACTGTCCAGGTTCCCTTCTTGACGTGAAAACTCACAACAGGAGTACTATTATGAATCCTCTTGTTTTCCTCAGTCAATCGCCGTATCTCTATCTTCGCTACCCTCGGTTCCTCCTTAAGCTGCTGGTAAAGTTGCTCGATGGAGGGCATCTTGGTTCATTCCACAGAGAGCACACAAGACACATCTTCACATGTCTTGACTGTCTCCGACTAAAACAGTGTTCTTACCTTCTCTTGTGGAATTTGTCGTGACGTTCTCGATGGTCTTCATTGGGTTTTCAAGGGATGGGTCTCACTGCAGCAGGCCTGTTGGCCCATACTAGGCAGGTCCTTCACAATCCATCCCACTAACACAATTAACTCTAGTCTGATAAATTAGACACATGTGCAACACTTGGGGTATCTTTAATGAGGAAACATTTCGCCACACAGTGGCTTCATCAGTCCCTCAAGGCTGAGGGACTGATTACCTCAAACTCCTCCTGTTCTTCACCGTTCTCCTTTGTATGGACTGATGAAGCCATTGTGTGATGAAACGTTTCCTCATTAAAGATACCCAAGTGTTGCACATATGTCTAGTTTATCAACTTGTTGGTGCACTGAACTATTCATCTACAGAGTTTATTCTGTTAGTGGGTCAGATTTGTGAAGGACCTGCCTAGTATGGGCCAACAGTCCTATTGCAGTGTTCCTCCTTTCTTATGTTCTTATGACACAACTGGCGGCGTTGGAGTTATGTAGAGATGACTGACGCTCCACACTCCATGAAAAAATTTCGGTTTTTGGACCTTTCGAATTTCAGAATTTCGGATGAAGGGATGGGGACTAAAATTTTGCGGTCTCGGCGACATATGCGTATCGGCGATTTCGCCAACTTTGAGCCCTATTTTCAGCCAATTCCATTGTTCCAGTTGACCAAACTCATAGCTATTTCTTTAGAACTCCATTTTATCTATCAGCTGAGTACAAGAAACCTCCCATTTACTAATTTGGACTACCCAATATGGTGGTCAGAAATTGGCAATTTGGCCAATTTCACGCAAACTAAAAAAGATGCCAATTTCAAAATAGGGTCCAGAATAAACAAGGTAGACATTCGTGGCACTAAAATAACATATGCTCTGTTCATTAGTCACATCTCTAGGCCCCTCTTGTATTATTATTGGTTTCTATTTTGATTTTTTATTCATGCAAAAAAATATAAAATTTACTGTTATGCAGACTACTGCATTATTGTAAAAATGGTATAAATAATATCAGTGCACTAGTGAAAGAATATTAGACTCCCCAGTTGACGTGTATTGGACGTGTGGTGTGATTTATTTACTCCTGAACATTGGTAAAAATCGAACATTTCCGCTACTTTGAGCTCAGTTTCAAGGTCGTTTTCATCGTCAAAGTAATGAAAATCATCACTATTTCTGTAATATGTTTACCATTTTATCACCTAAGACCATGAAAACGCGAATACAACGATAAATACTATACGAAAATACACCTCAAAGTCGGCGTTTTATTCCAAAAAAACGATCAGTTTTTTTTTTCTCATTACGCAATGTGTGCTGCAGGATTTTTTTTATGTGGTGCACACTGACCACACAGACCCATTCTCTCACATGTGGGACTACCAGCTTTCTCCCTCTTGATTTGAAGCCGCTAGAATTATTGAGTATATACAGTGGACCCCCGCATAGCGAACTTAATCCGTGCAAGAGGGCTGGTCGTTATGCGAAATGTTCGCTATGCGAATTAATTTTCCCCATAAGAAATAATGGAAATAAAATTAATCCGTGCAAGACACCCAAAAGTATGAAAAAAAAATTTTTTTACCACAAAAAAATGTTAATTTTAGTACACACAAACTGAAAAAGGCATGCACAATTACATGACACTTACTTTTATTGAAGATCTGGTGATGATTGATGGGATGGGAGGAGGGAGAGAGAGTGTTAGTGTTTAGAAGGGGAATCCCCTTCCATTAACACTTGAGGAGGCAAGTCCTTTTCCGGGGTTACTTCCCTTCTTCTTTTAATGCCACTAGGACCAGCTTCAGAGTCACTGGACTTCTTTCTGTCCATAGAGCTCTGTACCTCCCGTTCCTTTACGATTTGTCTAAAATGGGCCATAACATTGTCATTGAAATAGTCACCAGCACGCCTTGCAACAGCTGTGTCAGGGTGATTTTCATCCATAAAGGTTTGCAGTTCAACCCACTGTGCACACATTTCCTTAATTTTTGAAGTAGGCACAATGGATTCCACAACTGGCATAGGCTTCTCAGGGTTAGCCCCAAACCCTTCAAAATCTTTCTTAATTTCCATACTAATTCTCACCCTTTTTACCACAGGGTTGGCACTAGAAGCTTTCTTGGGGCCCATGGTCACTTATTTTCAACAAACAGAACCGAAAACACTGTAATAATACGAAATATTCCGAGTGTATGCTTGAATGTTACCGCGGAGGCTAGCTGGTAAACAATGGGACAGGCGGCACATGTGAGGCTGGCTGAGGCCGCACATTGGACGCGTCTCGGACGAAGTTCGCTGAGCGGGTTTTTGTCTACTATGCGGGGCAAAATTTTAGCGATCAAAGCGTTCGCTATGCGGAATGTTCGCTATGCAAGGCGTTCGCTATGCGGGGGTCCACTGTATATGTCAGAAACATTGGCTCGTAAGACGTATTTATACGTCGAAAGCAGTCAAAGGGTTAAAGTGCCTCTGGAGAGACTGATACTAAAGTTGAAAAAATGTATCAAGTCCTCCCTGATTCTACCATTTGTGTATTTATTGTTGTGCTAATTTGACTTAGAAAACAGGAAAATCCTGTAATATGGCTAATTTAATGTTTTGCATGTTTAGCGATATTTCCAATTTCAAATACTCAGTTTCCTTCAGAACGGTCAAGGTTGTCATTACACAAGCTCTAAAATTACTGAAGTTTGTCAAAATTTGTGTTGTGGCACTGATGATAATCAGAGCAGCACCTTCATCCCAAGTAACATTTCATCGAATTTCTTTTGAAAATCTCCAAGTCTTAGGCTGGTTTGTTTAGTCATAGAATAGTGAAGTGCTAAATCTGAAGTGTGAAACTAATTCTAGGCCAAAAGCAGAGTTTGGTACTGTATCTCTGTGAGTTGATGCAAGTGTTTGACTCTATCTTAAATGGAGAATTAGCCTACATGTAAGTTTTATTTTTTATTTTTATTGAATATTACTATGCACCTGATAACAGTTTTTTAGTCAAATTTAATCTGATGGATAGCTTGGTATGGTGCTCATTGCTATTATTGAAACAGTTTTTATTTTTTTATAGCCAGAACTAAGATAATTTTATTTGGGATTGGTTATTTTATAAAATATGGGAGTGAAGGCTTGAAATGTAGCATACTCTGCAGTCTGTAGTCTTTAAAATCAGTAAAAGTCAAAAGATTGATAGCAAACCTAATAAATTGTCATAAAATTTTATTTATCTTCCTTTTATAGGAGGAAGATAGAGACCGAGAAGAAAAGAAAGAAATCCCTTCCAGTAGCCTCCTATCTGGTGTCAGACTACGATCAACTGGCCTTGCCGACAGCCTCAAGTCTCCTACCAATGGTTTCCCACGAGGCTCTGGTGGAAATAAATCGCCAAATTGTAACAGAGATTCTTGTATTGATTCAACAGGTAGGCTCTTTATACTAGTGCTGTGTTTGCTTTCATCATTAGATATAATCTTGATGATTGGGTTGGTTTTCACATTTCTTGTTACACTATGTGTAAGGAAAGTGATTAAATAAACCAATATGAGGTTATAGGTAATGGTGTTGCTACGTATGTTGTAGTTGTGCACATGCTGTAAAACTATAGTGTGCTTTATTGGCTGACTTGCTTGAATCATTGCTTGCAAGATGCACTTCTTGAGTTGGAATGTCAAAATTAAGAGTGGCAGTACTAGTCTTATTAAGGTCTTCATTACCTTAGATTGTAAAAGTTAAGTAATGTTATTAGTAGTAATTAGTATTACAGTATTAGTGATATTACTAGTTACCTTGATCAGTGGTAATATTTAATATACGTATGATTGAATTTACATTATTAGGCTGTGTAATAGAAAAGGTGATTTAGAATTTAGACATTGGTTTAGCATGGCATATAAATAAGGCATGTACACTGTGAAATATGTACGTTTCTACATATATGCTTTGCCTGTGGGTGGCACTTCTTGTCTGCTATTTTATATTAAATTATTATTTCAGTTAGTTTTGTAATTTTTGGATTAAGTTACAGTATTGATTTGAATTTTTAATATACATAATTTGAAAGTATCATTTCTTTATTAAACAGGTTTGTTTGGGTTGAACAAAGGTAAATTTATTATCTCATGTTCAGTATTAAATATTTTGAGTGCCACATTTTAAACACAACTTTCGTTAAGCCGTTTCTAATGAGGTATTCCAGTCTAGGGAAGTCTGCAGTAATATATAGCAAGTAAGGTCATTTCTGCTGGCTGAGTACCATCTCTACTTTTAGGGTCAGTGAATTAATTTTTTTATTCCATCGGAATACAAAAGGACAATATAATGTTGATTTGTGAGGAAACTTTGAGAGATGTATGAGGTAAGAAAGTTGTCATCAGTATGAATGGAAGTGGTTTGTAGATAACTGGACCATGAGTAAACATCCCATTTTTTTTTTTTTTTTTCCTCAACAAGTCAGCCGTCTCCCACTGAGGCAGGGTGACCCAAAAAAGAAAGAAAATCCCCAAAAAGAAAATACTTTCATCATCATTCAACACTTTCACCACACTCACACATTATCACTGTTTTTGCAGAGGTGCTCAGAACACAACAGTTTAGAAGCATACACATATAAAGATACACAACATATCCCTCGAAACTGCCAATATCCCAAACCCCTCCTTTAAAGTGCAGGCATTGTACTTCCCATTTCCAGGACTCAAGTCCGACTGTATGAAAATAATTTAAATATTTAACATTATTAATATTCTTATATTCATAAGGAAGTAATTAAATCCATTAGCATGATACAATGCCTGGGATAAGGGAGGTAATCAGGTTTTATTGAAAGAAGTGAAGGGTAATTTCTATTTCCTAAACCAAAAACACTTCACCAGCATTAAGGCATATTCCTTGAAGGGTCTGATGGGATAGTAATAATTTATGACTATTATAGAGGACACAGTGTACTTTAGCAGACCATGGAAATATCTAAAGTACTATATATGATAAAGGAGGTTTGAGGGAAATAGTGGTGACCGAAGGTGATGACAGATATTTGCATATCTTGTAATGAATAGGAAAATACAGAGTTAATGAAGGTGTAGAGCTCAGCTTAACTAGTGTTGATGTTGATAAAAGTACCTTAACACTGTACAAGAACCTCAGTATGTCAGTGTTCATAGGGTGAGCATGCATGAATGTGTCAAGGGGTTATATTTTAAAAAATTATTCATTGTCTTTTCTGGGGTGAGTAAAAAGAACTTTTATCTGATTATCTTTCCAAGTTCATACGAGCAGGTATTTTTTCTTTTATTCATTATATATGCATATGCATGGAGACAAAGAAGAGAATGTACAAGAGTATAGTGGTATCAACACACTTATATGGGTGTAAAGCATGGGTTGTGAATGCTGCAGCAAGGAGGAGGCTGGAGGCAGTAGAGATGTAGTGTCTAAGGGCAATGTGTGGTGTAAATATTATGCAGAGAATTTGTAGTGTGAAATTAGGAGGTGTGGAGTTACTAAAAGTATTATTCAGAGGGCTGAAGAGGGGTTATTGAGGTGGTTTGGTCATTTAGAGAGGGTGGAGCAAAATAGGTTGACTTAGTAGGGTGTATAAATCTGTAGTGGAGGAGAGGAGGGATAGGGGTCATCCTAGAAAAGGATGGAGGGAAGGGGTAAAAGAGGTTTTATTTCAAGGAGCCTGGACATGCAGCAGGCATGTGTGAGCATGTTAGATAGGGGTGAATGGAGATGAATGGTTTTTGGGACTGATAATCTGTTGGAGTGTGAGCAGGGTAATATTTTGTGAAGGGATTCAGGGAAACGAGTTAGCCAGACTTGAGTCCTGGAGGTGGGAAGTACAATGCCTGCACTTTACAGGAGGTATTTGGAGAATTGGCTATGTAGAGTGACATCTTCCCAGATATGACAGCTGTCATATCTGGGCACCTCTGCAAAAACAGTGATTATTGTGAGAGGGATGGTGAAAGTGGTTTTTTTTTTTTTTTTTTTGGGTCACCCTGCCTCAATGGGAGATGGCTGTCATGATGAAAAAAAAAATGCTTTAATGCAAAAAGTCATGACATAAAATAAATTGTGCTTATTTAGTAGACTAAGCAGATGCTTTCAGTATCAGTTATTGGATAGGCATGTGACTACATACATAGGCAGTAGAGAATAACTGAGGAGAATGTTTAGTTATGAACTAGGAAGACTGGGTCGGAGGTTGATGAACTCTAGTGGTAAAACCGCAAGTCAGTTAGTTTTAAGTTTTTAAACAGTGCAGCCATCCCCCACAAATATAGGTTGACAAAAAAAAATCATTCGCTCTATAGATGTTTATCCAAATGCATGCAGAAATTGCAATTCAAGTGACCTTCACCAGCAGCATCCCCACCTCTTTCAGAGGGCAGGCATTGTACTTGCCACCTCTAGAATTTAAGTTTAGCTAACCAGTTAACCATGAATCCCTTCACATTCCAACAGCCCACCAAGCAATAACAACTACTTTTCTCCATTCACTCTAATCTAACACATTCATAAGTGCCTGTTGAATACTCAAGCATTTTACCACTCAAACTGTCCTTTATCCTGTGCCTCCCACCCTTCTTGGGACCACCCTATAACCTATATTTCATCCATCCAAGATTTATATTACCCTCTTAATTAACCTGTTCTGCTTCATCCTCTCTAAATCAGATCATCTCAACAATTCATTCTCCACCCTCTAAATTATATTTTTCATGTTCTCTGCATCTCTTATTAACTGCATAATTTTCACACTATGGTAGACATCATAAATATGCATGAACACAGATCACACAGAAAACAGACTGCTCACCATAGCTTTATTATTATTTTATTTATTTTTTTTTTTACAAACCGGCCATATCCTACTGATACAAGGTGACCTAAAAAGAAAAATGAAACCTGTAAGTTCTTATTTTTAAATTTAGTAATTTATGCAGGAGAAGGGGTTACTAGCCCCTTGCTCCCAGCATTTTAGTCACCTCTTATGACATGTATGGCTTATGGAGGAAGAATTGTGTTCCACTTCCCCATGAAAATAAAGAAGAACCACCATTAAGAAAATAGAAGTAAACCCAGATGAATATGTACACTGTATATATATGTGTATACATGCATGTGTAGTGTGACCTAAGTAGAAGTAGCAAGGTATACTTAGTATCACACATGTTTGAGACAGAAAAAAGACACCAGTAATCCTACCATTGTGTACGTATAAAACAATTACAGGTTTCCGTTTCACACACTGTTTCATTAGAGTACAAAACAAATTCCGGCCACAAAATAGAGCGAAAAACCAACGTCAAAGACCTGGGAGTGATCATGTCAGAGGATCTCACTTTCAAGGACCATAACATTGTATCAGTCGCATCTGCTAGAAAAAATGACAGGATGGATAATGAGAACCTTCAAAACTAGGGATGCCAATCCCATGATGACACTCTTCAGGTCGCTTGTTCTATCTAGGCTGGAATATTGCTGCACACTAACAGCACCTTTCAAGGCAGGTGAAATTGCCGACTTAGAAAATGTACAGAGAACCTTTACGGCACGCATAACTGAGATAAAACGCCTCAATTACTGGGAGCGCTTGAAGTTCCTGAACCTGTACTCCCTGGAATGCAGGTGGGAGAGATATATGATTATATACAGCTGGAAAATCCTAGAGGGACTAGTACCGAACTTGCACATGAAAATCACTCACGATGAAAGCACAAGACTCAGCAGATGATGCAACATCCCCCCAATGAAAAGCAGGGGTGCCACTAGCACGTTAAGAGACAATACAATAAGTGTCAGGGGCCCGAGACTGTTCAACTGCCTCCCAGCATACATAAGGGGGGATTACCAATAGACCCCTGGCTGTCTTCAAGCAGGCACTGGACAAGCACCTAAAGTCGGTACCTTACCAGCTGGGCTGTGGCTTGTACGTTGGATTGCGTGCAGCCAGCAGTAACAGCCTGGTTGATCAGGCTTTGATCCACCAGGAGGCCTGGTCACTGACTGGGCCGCGGGGGCGTTGACCCCCGGAACTCTCTCCAGGTAAACTCCAGGTAGAGTGCTAGTAATATATCCCTGGGGGGTTGCTATCTACCAACCTACTACCTAGGCTTTTTTTTTTTTTTAACATGCCGGCCATCTCCGACCTAGGTAGGGTGGACCCCCCCCCCCAAAAAAAAAAAAAAAAAAAAAAAATCACCATCATTCACACACGATCACTGTCTTTACAGAGATGCAAAGATACTCCAATAGCTCATCAGGTCCCAAAAACCATTAGTCTCCATTCACTCCTATCTAACATGCCTGCTGCATGTCCAGGCCCCTTGTGTACACAACCTCTTTTACCCCCCCCCCCCCTCCATCCTTTCCTAGGATGACCCCTACCCCTCCTCTCCTCCATTATAGATTTATACA